TTTTTTTTTGAATTAGCCCTTGGTTCATGACCCCACACCCCCGATGAATCCTTGTCTAGTTTTCGTCTGTCATATGACAGACATCGTCAGAGGACACCATGCTTTACGATAATTCACCAAGCGCGAAGCCAAGAAAGGTGGCCTGTCGCAAAAACGAGGTCAAACTAACATTACCGCTAAAGGAGACTGCAAACAAACAAAATATCACACTATCTTGGTATTCATATCCTTTATTTATTCGTTTACAGACAATTTCTGTCTCTTCATGCTGAGCAAATTCTCTCGCGGCTTATCTGCTTAATGCGGCTGAATTCTGCTTCTTCGCCTTCTAGCACATCTCTTGAATCGTCTGCTGGCAACCAGGTCTTCGGGAGTATGCAAGTTGACTCATCGGAATGCAATCATACTGACGATAGAGCCGATAGCGAGGATGAACTCAGAAAGACACTAGCAACTGATGAAGCACTTAGCAACGGTTACTTTAGGTCCTATCCCCTGGCCTTCTCTTGGCAGGCTTTCCTATATGAAACCGCAGCTCATCTCATAATTGCAAGATATGTTGCTGGCGATGACATGTTTTCACAAACCTCTGTAGCTGGAGGAAGTGGTCGGATTGCTCGAAACTTCCGAATACTGTTATCCTCGGCTCTGGAACAATTGCCCAAATTTATTGATCGTCTCCTAGCTGAGTCAGATCGTAAGAAGGTAGAATCTAGGGCCATTCGGGCCAAACTAATTGTTGACCTGGCGACGTGAGTATAGATATTTAATCATATTTGTATATGATTACTTTGATCAATAGTAAAGAATCCATGTTGCTAATTTTGTACTGTGATTTAATTGCTAGGCTATACGACATGTTCGATATTCTCCTGATATGTGAGGTTAGTACTCCCGCTAGTCACAATCTCACATGTGAGTTTTGTCAGTCAAAGATTAAAACCATGATAGATTATATTCGTAAGTGAGTAGGGTGAATACATCTCATTACACTGATTTACTGGTAGTCTCGAAACCCTACTTAAATACGAATATAAGT